TAAAATGCAGTCTCTTATGTTTCCAATATAGATCAGAATAAATCTCATCAATAAGCACTATAAGAACCACTTCTTTGGGCTATATTAACCAACATAAAAAAGGGGGAAAAATGAGTGTCCCTTTTTAATGGCATTATTTCCAGTTAAGAAAGCTGATAAACCAATTATTTTTCTGATGTAAAAAATAAAAATTACTGGATCAATGTTGACTCTTCTTTAATATTATTTATAAGATGGTTTTCAGTACTATTTACTAAGTCTTCTGATTACTCAAACAAGATAAAATGAACACTTCGTTTTCAGTTATTGCTATTTTAGGAAAGGATTATGACTGTTTACATAAAATGGTTACTAAAGGTTCTTTAGATCCAACAAAATGCAATTCATATTGCCTTACATTTTAAAAGAGTATTATAAATGATCTTTATAAAAAGGTTTTAGTTCACAAAACTGGAAGGCTTAAAAAAAAAAGTCTTTACTCAAAACAGTATCACAGTGCCCTTCGTTATCTGATAGATAAAAGGGGTTTCAGTCTCCTCTATAACATGACAGTGGACATATGGTGTACTTTTGTCTTCACCCTCACCTTTATCTTCATAGTACACCATTCTGAGACCAAATCAGGCATCTACCACACTTCAGTCCACATTAATAGAGGATTTCTGATTCTGTCCAGTGCGTAGTGTACCGCCTTGCATATTCACATGAAATAAACATAATATACAAAATATTGCTGCTGTAAAAAGTGTACATTCCCCTCTTCCCCTTACAAAAGAATTTGTGGAAAAGTATTAAATTCCCTTAACCTTCGTAAACATACAAAGCTGTTCACACCTTTCAGTCGGTAACAGTCGTTTGGAAACACAGTTCCAAAATCACTGCAAATTGGTTATGTCATTGCATTTTCTGTCCAATGTTGCCATCTAGAGTAGAAATGTGAAATCAAGAGTATTTTTAAGCTACTAAAACCTTTAAAACTAAACCAAGAAGGCTGCTTAAAGACAAAACAGCCACTTATCCACAAGATTTTTCCAAAAAACTAGACGGAATGGAAGGATCTCTTCACAGGGAGGTGGCCACAGTGCTGAGGTGACAGGAGGGCTGCTAGTACGTCCTGGCGATTGGAATGTAAGTACTCTTTCACTGTTGGTAATTTCCGTACTGTCCCTAAAAGGCAAATATGAAAAAATACTTAGGTACTAGCCTGAGCTAAATTAATTTAGCATAGAAAATTACAAATAATTGTAACAATGTCATATAACAAAAGCAAATAGACCTCCCACAAATCAACTTTTTATGCATGTAAGTACACAATACCATTATTCTGATATTACTGGATTGCAAATGGGTTTATAGCCCAAACTATACAAGGATTTGGCAAATCAGCCTAGACAAGTAGCTGTCACCTAGTGAAAATGTGGTGTTATTTTGCTGAAATGAACTAAGCAGTGATGAGTGAGAAATTCTAGTTGTAAACTTTGGCGTGGTACATACTAATGGAAATTATACCCCAGTGTGACAGCTCTGTGAGTACTCAGCTTGCTGTAATTACTATTACAAATTAATATCAAGGGTATTTGCAATAAATGGCAATTGAGAGTAGAAAGACAGCTGAGAGAGAAAAGTAAGAGTCTTCTATGCAAACTACAGAATTTTTCCCTGAGGTCAACAAAGTAGAGGTACTCAATGGAGGTATTTGGATAGGAAAGTTTTATATCTAGGAAAGTTCGTTTTTGTTGTTTTTAATAAGGCAGACCTAAAGGGGTGATGGCTGACAGGATGGGGAAGTGATTAACATCCAGTAAATGACTGTAAAGCTTGGTTTGAAAAGAGAAGAAACAGTCTTTTCCTGTAAAACAGAAGAAGCTGGGCCTGGTGGTGCACATCTGTCATCCCAGTGCTCTGGGAGGCTACCTGTAAGAGGAATGGAAGTTTAAGCCCATCCCAGGCAACCTAGCAACTTAAATAATTAGAGCTGGGGAGACAGCTCAGGAGCATAAGTGCTGCCTGGTCAGTGCAAGGTCCTGAGTTCGGTCCCTGGTAGGAAAAAAAAAAAAAGATTAAAAAATTGCACTAAATTAAAATGCGTTTCAGAACCAGCACTCTAGTGCCTACCACGTGCAAGCATCCAGCCTGGTCATGTGGAGTGCTGTGCTTACACGTCTCACTTGCCTAAGTGATGGGCCAGAAAAACAGGACAGTGGTGCTGGGGTGCAGCTCAGTGCCAAGGCCTGGGGTCCATCCCCTGTACTGCAAAAAAACTAAAAATAAATCAGAAGAAAACTGAGACAAACTAAAAATTATGTATTTTAGTTTGGTGGTCTATAGCGCCTGCTTAGGCAAAGCACAGGGAGCACGGTTCGATCCCAGGCACCACAGACCACTCCAGTGCCAGCCTCACTCCCAGGGAAACTGAGCAGGCCACGCGTACATGTATACACGTACACGTACACGTACACACACACACACACACACACACAATTTTCTTAAATATGTTTGAAGTAGGTACTCATAAAACCATCTACTTTCCAAAAACGGTACTTATTGGGTGCATATAATTAGCTAAATTTTTCCAAGTCACATTATATGACACAAGAAAATATACTTCCACAGCATAAGCAGCAGTCCCCTGAAAGCGTCCATCTTCACAACAGATACACATGGTAATCTGTGCAATGTCACCAGGTATATTAAAAAACTTCACTGTTCTTGAAATATAGCAGGCTATTTTACATTAACTGCTCTACACAATTTATTCTGCTGAATTTCAAGTTAATGTGCATCCTGAAATATACATTAGTAAAAGTATACCTAGGACTTGCTTTAAAATGTAGTAATACCTCTTCACAAGCACTTCTGTTTGCAAACAATTTGATTTTTAAGCATATTCACCAAAGTTTTGCTTCTTTTCATAAACTCTGCAACAGGTAACAGACAAAAACACAGCCATCTTCCTCATACAAAGCCAAAGGCAGTCATTGTCCCCGAAATCAGTAAATCAAGTTTGTAAGGAAAGTACCACAAAAGTATGAAAAAAAATTGGCAGAAGTATAAAAGAACCATGTGGCAAAATGATAGTAACTGCTGTCTCTTGTATGTAAGATTTCTGTAATGAAAACTTTAAAATAAAGGTTAATGACATATCCTACCATACACTACAGCTAAATTGACATCCACTGAAGCAAAATTTAAATCCTAACTTTACTGCTAACTTTCTATGTGACTCTACAAAACTCTGAGATTCAGTTTCTTCATCCACGAAATGGAAGAGTGGCATCTTCACTCAGGGTCTTAATTTCTGTTAATAGCTACACGAATTCTCACTCCACCTTCTATCATACTTACAGGACATGAGAAAGAATTTTTAGAACTATAATTATCAAGGCACCATGGCACATGCCTACAGTCCCAGCTACTTGGGAGGCTGAAGGAAGAAAACTGCTTAAGTCCAGGTGTTCGACACTGTCACTCTCTCTCTCTCTCTCACACACACACACACACACACACACACACACACACACACACCCTTAATGCTGGAAGGAAATGCTTCATCAAAGAAAGTGTAAAATGAGCTGTCAGTGACAAAAGCGAGTTGCACACATCACTGATGTGAAAGTGCAGGGGCAGGGATTCACGACTGCTGTGCCAGAGATAAACAGGACCTAATCTGCCGCCCACACTATGGACTACTGGAGCACAGGGGCTAGGTCTTACCCAGGCTTATTCCCTGAGTATGGAAAAGGATCTGACACACACTTCCTCAACAATAAATGCCAAAATAAATTATATCCAAGTAACTATAAAACTTATAGAACAAATGTTCAACACCATTAAAAATTGAAAAACATCTAAGATTTAGAAATGGCCAATAAAGTATAATTACAGAATAGAAGTTAAATTTTACAGTGGTTCAAAAATTAAAAGAACAGTATAAACTAAAATCATTAGAAATATGGAGTCACCAAAGAAAGTATACACTTCAAGGAAAAAAGCTTGTATAAATATTTCACTACTTTTATCTATGGGCACCCTAGAGATGTTGACAATTGCAGAAAACCTACTAAACTGCCGGCCCTGAGCCAAGAAGCTGAAAATGTGTGTGCAGCGATCTCAATGGGCACTAATAAACGTTGTTATGGTTTGTGTCTAGGTGTCCCCCCAAAGCCTCATGCAGTCTTGGGGGGGCTTCTGGAGTTTGTGATTGATTACTGTGGGTGTGGTTGCTGCACCCGCCTTGTGGCAGGTAATTTGCATTACAATGTAAGATAGGAAGAGAAGCCAGCTGCTTGAGCCGCTGCTACCCCTCCCTTGTGCTCTTGCTCTTTGCCACCGCCATGAAAAGTTGCTTTCTGCCATGTGCTGCTCTGCCTTGAAGCCAGCTGAGTAAGGACTGAAGCCTCCAGTAACTGCGAGCTAAATAAACCTTTCCTTCCGTCATTTTGAGTGATGGGCATTTGTCCCAGCAATGAGAGAAGAGTAACTAAGACAAACATCTAGAAGGGAAATGCCACAGCTTTGAGCACCTCTTCCAACTGCAGATGCAAAGCATAACTTGTATTAATCACATGATGTCTCAATAAACTTAATGTTAAAACACTTATACAAGTTTTTCTTTTCCTGAAGTGTGCATATGTTTTGGCGAATTCTATTACAGGGAATATGGAAGCTTTAAGAAAAGATTTGGATAGCAGAGAAAAAAGACCAATTCAAATAGAAGTAATAGCTAAAGCAGAGAGGAGAAATACAGAATGCTTAGGGAAGGAAAAGGTTAAAAAGTGCACAACAATGAAGGGAAGCTAACAATTATTTTGAAAGAGCTCGAGAATAAGAAGACTGATAGTAACAACAGCTAACCCTTAATCCACCTTAACAACCAAGACCTTACCAAGTGTCAGACATTGTACTAAGTCATCTGTGTCCACCTGTAAACTCTAAAGTAAGTATTTCCATTTTACAGAAAAAAGAAAAATAGGAGTACTGAAAGTTTAAGTAGCGTGATCAAACTGAATCACATTTCCAGGAACAAACTAAATCACAATCAAGTCTAAAAGGGTGAAACTGAGTATAGAAACCAATAGCAAATTCTAGGCTTGAATTGGGGCTCAAAGTGCAGGTTTTGGGAGCCAGGAGTCAATTTCTAATACCACCTTTTCCACTAACAGCCTTCATGACCTTGGACAAGGCGTTACCTAACATTTCCTGACATTCACCTGACAAGGATGAGTATAATCCCTACTTCAAAGTTTTGCAAAGAAATAAGATGAAAAAGCTTTGCAAGTTACTTAAGCACTCCTCCGTAACACTGATGGCAACGTGGTACAGTAGTTCCCCTATATACACAGGGGACACATTCCAACTCCCTCCAGAGAATACCCAGAATACAGACAGTGCTGAGTCCACCATATGTACCATTTTTTTCTTACTATATACATACACAGGTTAAAGTTTGTTAACTGGAGCCAGTAAGACATCACCCGCAATACGACAATAATTGTAACAATATACTGTAACAGAAGCTATGTGGATGCAGTCTCTCTCTCTCTCTCTCTCTCTCTCTCTCTCTCTCTCTCTCTCTAACAGTAACACAAATGTTTTCAGACTGCAGGAAATGGAACATGTTGAGAACTGAGCAGGAGGACTGCTGCACAGAGACAAAGTGTGAGCTCCTGTCATGCGTGACCTGTCACTGAGCCCCAGCACTCCTAGCTCAGTCACCCTGTGTGACTCACTCCAGCACTCTGTGCCTCACTTTGTTTCTTCTATTTTTTAAATTACAAAATCTCTCCAACTAGAGTGCCAATTAGTAAGAGAGCTAGACAGAGGAGCCGGGGAGATGGCTCAGTGGAATAAGTGCTTCCCTGGCAAGCACAAGGGCCTGAGTTCAATCCCCGGTTCCACCAAAAAAAAAAAAAAAGAGAGAGCTAGATAGAATGAAAATCCAGCCATGATGAAGGAAGCAACACCAATGGTCTGAACTGAGACAAGGCAAAAGGGGCTATAAAGAAGGGAGGCTTAAACAGAAACAATGTTATTTGGCCTTCCAGCTCGATGATAGGACAGAAAGAAAAAATATGCTTGGTTAGGGGGAAAAAAATGACTGCTTTTAATTTATGATGGTTATGTTGAATACATGTGGTAAAAATAAGTAGACATCTACTTTTTAGAAG